TCTCTTTATTTGTGGTGTCTTTTGGCTATGGTTTTGCTTTGCTTTTATTTTTCTATCAATTTCATCCTTGCTTACATTTTGTAAGACTCTGGCAAAATGTCTTTTTAGATGATACCCTTTTTGTCATCTAGTATTATGGTTTCATTTCTTTTTTAACTTTTTACAAGGTTACATTCTTGGAAATGGTTGAAGAAATATACATATGTTCATAGAGCAAAATTGGAACACTCATTTTCTTCTCTTCCCCTACAACTTTAACTTTCCTCTCTGGAAGTAACCACTATTAATAATTTACTTAGGTTATTTTTAACATAAATATGATTATCACTCGTTAGCTTACTTTGTTGACTTAATCATGTCTTGATCATTTTTCCATCTTATGAATTTATTAAATTTTTTACAGATGTATAAAATTCCTCTTTTTACTAATGAGTAAAAGTAATATTGTTTTAATTTGCATTTCTTGATTAGAAATTAAGTTGAACATTCTTTTTAAAGATTTTATTTATGTCAGAGAGAGAGAGAGCACAAGCAGGGGGAGTGGCAGGCAGAGGGAGAAGCAGGCTCCCCATTGAGCAGGGAGCCTGATGTGGGGCTCGATCCCAGGACCCTGAGATCATGACCTGAGCTTAAGGCAGATGCTTAACCAACTGAGCCACCCATGTGTCCCTAGTTGAGCATTTTTTAATGTATTTTTTGATGATTTGTATTTCATATTTTATGAAATGCTTGACTTATTTCTACCTTTGCCCATGTTTTTAGTTATTTCTTAATGATACCTAGACATTGTATGTATTCTTATATTTGCCATGAAAAAATGTATTTTATTAATAGTTGCTTGTAGAGTACCTCTGTCTTATTTTATGTTTCCTTTTTTTCCTCAGAGGTCTTACTATTTGTTTAGCTAAATTTGTTGATTTTTTTTTCCTTTATGGATTCTCCATTTTATGTTTTACTTAGGTAGGACTGATGTTAGTTTTATCCTCAGTTACTTTATAGTTTTTATGTGCTATTATTGTATTTTTAAGTATCTGTCTTCTGTCACTTCAGTGGGTTCTTGGTAGGGAAGGGAATTAGATATGTGTGCTCAATTTGCCGTCTTCAGCAGGATTGAGATAGATATTTAATTATTCCATGTTCCAGGGTTTGTCTTCTGGCTTAATTTAATAATTCAATATCAAGAAGTTTCACAAGAATGTAGTCACTCATAACATTAGATACACTTCCATTTTATGCATTAAAACTATTCTAAGTTGAATTATTAGCAAGTAGAATGTAGGCTCTATTGAGGCTTAAATATACTAGCATAACTTAAAAATCCTTTTAAAATTTTATCCCTCAAAATCTTTGTAATTAAAAAAAATCTTTGTGATTAATAGTTCTTGTACGTTTGTGTACTTCCAGTTGGGTATTTTTTTTTTAAGATTTTATTTATTTGAGAGAGAGAGAATGAGAGATAGAGAGCACGAGAGGGAAGAAGGTCAGAGGGAGAAGCAGACTCCCTGCTGAGCGGGAAGCCCAATGTGGGACTCGATCCCGGGACTCCAGGATCATGACCTGAGCTGAAGGCAGTTGCTTAACCAACTGAGCCACCCAGGCGCCCCCAATTGGGTATTTAAAACTTTTATTTTAACAAAAAGCAAACACGCATGCATGCAGAATGGGGGTGTGAAGGACAGAACATGACAACACTGATATTTTAAGGATTTTGAGTGAGGCATTTTGGGGTAAGTTTACTTACCCCAAAGAATGTACAAGTGTCACCCCTTTCACCTTGAGGATCATAATCGATGAGAAAAAACTATAATTTCCTAATACTAAGGATGAGGTAATTATCTTTGGAAGTGTAGTCAGGTGTTGTTCGCAAATGATGCTTTAAAAAACAAGTCAGTAGGGTGATGAAAATTAAGGAATAGTGAAAAGACTTGAAGTTTGATCCTTGATCTTCAAATAATTTGTCATGTTACATTGTATGAGTCACTTGACTTGTTTTCACATTTGTGAAATGAAGTGCTTATGCTAAGTTATTTCAGATACAAATTGTACAAAGCTTTGGCTTCCATGGTGCAGGTATAATGGGCAGATGGAATCTATGAATACATTCACCAATACTGTGTTATGGAGAACTCAATCACTTAGACTTTGGATAATTTTTTTTTTAAGTTTTTATTTTTAAGTAATCTTTAAATCCAACGTGGGGGCTTGAACTTACAACTCCGAGATCAAGAGCTGTGTGCTCAACCAACTGAGCCAGCCAAGCACCCCAACCTTCAATAATTTTACATGTAAAACAATGCCAAATTTATGGAGCACCATTTCTTCACTCATAGGATATGTATAGCTGTTTAAAATAAAGAAATAAAGTGAAGCCCACCTTCTGCCCACTAAAAAGTTGGAAACAGACCCATAGAATATATAGATGAAAAAAAATTCTTGTCAAGATTTACCTCCTTTGAAACATGGGGAGTGTGTATAAACACTTTGATTCTGAATCTTTGGTGCTGGTAACTTTATAAAATAAGGATTTTATTATTACAAGCTCAGGGCAGAAGAGCTCTTTAGCTGTGTGGTTGCTTAAGCTTATAAGCTTAAAAAATTAGGTGAGAATATATGTAGCTCATTGGTTCTTAGCCATTTGAAGTGTTCGGAAAAACACACAAAAATAATATGAACATAAGGTACATTCCATTAAAAAATATTTGTACACATTCATATATATATTCCTGTAGTCTTTCAGTAAGAAATATAGGCTAATGGTATATGACAGTGATAATTAGCTAGAAGATTTGCCACGTATGTCTTAAGGATCTACTAGTGTAGATTCTCCACTTATTTAATAAAAATATCTCTTAAGATTTTCTATTATTTATTTACTCACATATAAATTCAAAGCAAATTAATTTCATAAAAGTACAGCTACTTCAAAAATTGTGATTTAGCGTATAAGGGATTCCAGAGTTGTATCATTACATACTGAACCCTGGACCCAGGATAATAAGTGAGCTTCCATTATATTGCCTGGATGTTGTAAATTACTTATTTTTTCTAGAAAATCTGGTATCAAAAAGGTCAGGGGTGCCTGGCTGACTCAGTTGGTAGAGTATGACTTTTGATCTCAGGGTTGTAAGTTTGAACCCCATGTTGGGTATAGAGATTGCTTAAAATAAAATCTTAAATAAAAAAAGATTGTTGAGTGAAAAAAATTTAAGTAGAATGTGATTTACTGACATGTTACTTATCTTTCATTGGCTACTGCTATCAAAAAGAAATTCTTTTGGATTACTATTCAAGTGATGAATGTATCAAGTGAAAGATAAATGGTAAACATATCTTGGGAGAAAAGAAAAATAAAGTATTGCATTTTATAAACTTTTATATAGACTTAACTTACTGTAATACTAGACCTTGTACTTTAGAGATATCCTAGGACAATTTGCCTTAACTTTTACAGGAGAGAAATTCTGGGAAGGTAAGGGATTTGCCCAAAATCACATACTTAATAGCAGAGTAAGGTTTAGAACTCAGGTATCCCAACTTTCAGACCCCCTCTTTCCCCACACATCGTTATATGCTTCTGCTCTTAATTCATGATCAGGCAATGACTTCTAGTTTGAAAAACAAATCACCGTTTTTCAGAAATTTATGTTTTAAAATCTTTTAAACAGACTGCAGATTTACACTCAGATTCAGTGAGTACAGATTTAGAATTTTAGATTAAAGATGGCTAAGCATGAAAATGAACTTTCTGAGACTATGAACAACTTAGCCCTTCATTTCTTAATTTGTTTTTGTCTCAAATTGCAATACTTACGTAAAGCATTATTTCTTTACACAAAAGGCTATATTCTTTTTTTCTTTTTTTTAAGCTGTCTGGAGATATGTGTTGCTTTGGGGGAGATATGTAAAATATTCTTTGGCATCAAATAATTAAAATTGCAACCTTGTTTTTTTTTTTTTTTACAAGTTCTATTTGTAGGCACAAATATAATTTATTGATTCGTTTTTCCACATTAATTTTGGAATAGGGAGTAGTTTTTTAATTATTAGGATGTAGGAGGGTCAGTCAGGTTCAGTAAATTGTTACTATAAAACCAGTGGAGTAGAATTGTTTATGGCCTCCCCTATACATTGTATTATCCGAATTTTCCATCTGTCAGTCAGTTTTTTCTTATATAAGACTAGCAAAGCTAACAGTTCGGGGTTCATGACTTTAAAAAGAAATTAGGAATTCAAAAGATAAATGAATTGGAGGTCTAAGTGAGTACCCAAAGTTTAAATGACATCTGGACTTAAGTAATGTCCAAAGCCAAGGTAGTTGGGGCTATAATCTGTCTATATTCAAGGTTTTAGCATCAGTTACAGAAGTTTTATAACAAATGCATTTTTAAAAATTATAGTGTACTAACTTTATTAATTAAAATCCTCTTGATGAAAACTTGGCCTTAGGCATTCTCCTTTAATTTATTGATTTAGAACAAAGTGTTTGGAAAAGCATATGAAAAGATTTAGGATAATTACAATGCACATGGTGTCCAGCTTGCCAATGATATTTTTCCTTTTTTGTAGTTTATAAAGAAAGCAAAGTATTTTAAATTCCTCCTACGATGGAATTTTATTTTTTCATTAATAAGCAGTATTTTACTCAGGGTTTCCAACATCAGCTTTCATTTTGTAACGTAGAAGCTTCCCTGTGATATAAAGTGTTGGGACAATTTAATTAGGAAAAGAGATCATGGAACTCCATGTGATGGTATAAATTTTCCAATGCTTCCATGTTCTACTAAATTGGAATGAAAATACATTAAAATTTACATTAAATTATATCTGTTTTCCAAGTTGAGGAGTCAGGGGAAAAGGGGATGGGATAGAGATTGTGGAATGTGTTTGGGACTCCATGGTGGGAGGTGGGGTCAAAGAAGCCTTTTAATCATAAATAGAAAGGAAATTTTGACAAGGGCATTTAGGTTACATGGTTCTTTCCCCTTTTTTGTTTGTTACAGGCAAAGGGGAAGATAGTGATGTACTCAGTATAAATGCAGATGCTTATGACAGCGACATAGAAGGCCCATGCAACGAAGAAGCTGCTGCTCCTGAGGTCCCTGAAAATACAGTCCAAAGTGAAGCTGGTCAGATAGATGACCTGGAGAAAGACATTGAGAAAAGTGTGAATGAGATTCTGGGACTGGCAGAGTCTAGCCCAAAGGAACCCAAAGCAGCCACCCTGACCGTTCCTCCACCAGAAGATGTTCAGCCTTCCGCACAGCAGCTGGAGCTGCTAGAACTTGAGATGAGGGCGAGAGCTATTAAAGCCCTAATGAAGGCTGGTGATATAAAAAAACCAGCCTAGTTATTTGACTTGAATCTGAGTTCTAGGTATGTTTGAGCGAAGCCACATCATATAATTTTGTATATGAAGTTTATTTTGAGTCTTATGTGATATTTCTCATGTAATCCTTATTAGATAAACTCATCTTAGGCCTAAAATACCTGTGGTTTTTTTTTTTACTGTTGTTACTTTTATATATGTGTTATTGCTTTATGAATTTATGGCAGATATCATTGGATAACCTGGATACTTTGTTAGATGAGCATTTAGCTATGTCTGCAAATTAATATCTGAAAAGCTATTAGCAAAGAGTCACTGTATTTTTTCCTTCATTTTTAAATGTTTTGGCATCAAACCTAAAAGCTTAAGAAAGATTGACCAAGCATGTTGCTCTTAAGGTTACCTATATTTTGTGGTAGAATATTAAATTACTGCTTTTAGATTTGTTAACAATTTAAGAAATTTAGTCATGCTTATATGCGCTTTTAAAATAAGTCTGTCTTGGAGACACCTTCTGTGGGTGTGAATTTACTGGTAAAAACAGAATAACATTTTTTGTTGTAAGGCTTAGAGGTCTGAAATGGCTGAGAAAAATGTTTTTTATAAAAGAAAAAAGGGACTTAATTTAAGGCCATTTTTAAAAATGTAGAAGTATTGCCCAACTTTAATTCCAGCAGACAAGCCATTCTAACAGGTATTTGATATTATTGGACACTTTGTTCAAGTTTTTTTCTTCAGTAAAAAGGGAACATATTTGCATTTACATTCCAAGCTATTAGAAAAAGAATATTTTATTGTACAGGCTTTTATCTCATGTTTTTGCTTGAAGATCTGATGTGCTATAATTCCATGAATTAAAAATAATAAAGACTATCATCCTGGATCTGAAGACTTTTGATAACATTTCCAAAAGCAAAATTAATTTCAGGAAGCTTTGATAAGTCGATGTTATAATCTAATTTTGTATAGTTTTTGTAAATAAATTAACATCCTGCACAATAATGGATGCTTTTTGCCCCATTACTAATTGTAGTTGTTTGATACTGAAATAAATTTAGGTAGAGACTCTTAAAATAAATTAATTTTTTTTCTAAAATACAAATCTTAAACCAATGTTTTTATACTTGCTAACAAATATACTATATTTTATTTGTAAACCGTGCTCTACTAGTGTATGAGGATTTTCCTCATGCATAAAACTTGTTGGGATTGTGTTATATTAGCTGGCTTAATTATATGTAAATTTTAGAGAGTTTCTTGTGGAAATAGAGTTTATGAAACCTAAGAGTTGCAAAGTTACAAATTTATTTTTTTGTTGTTTCTGAATATGCCTTCAAATAATCCTGTCATATTTTTTTCCCCCCGGGATCTTTCTAATGTAGCACAGGCCTGTGTCATCTGGGGCACTTCTCTTAGGCTGGTAAATGCGGGTATGATTCGAATAGTGAGTTCTGCTTCAAGATGAAAAAGCATTGATTATGGCAAAATAATTTTTTATTTCAAGTGAAAGTTAAAATAATAACAAAGTAGTATGGAACAAACTCTGTTGCTGCTTACTAATTATAAAATGCAGTAGATGACATTTGTGTGATTAAACATACAGCAGATAAGGGTCTGAGTGCTTTGTAGCTGCCTAGTTACCACCTTCATGAAGCATTGTGTGTCTGCTCTGTTCATTGTGCAGAATGGTCTAGAGGACATTTGACTAGAGTGGTATGTGTGAGGTAGAATGAGCTTATTAACAAATTAGAAGCCACTAGTTTCCTACCTTGGAAAATCAGCTCTTCTTCTCTCACTCTTTTTTTTTTTTTTTAGTGTTGAAAGACACAAGAGCTTTTTGAAAAATGAATGACTTTGGAGAATAGGATTATGTTTGTTTTAGGAAAGCCTAAGTAAATGGGAGAATACCATATATTGATCTAATGCTGCCATTTAAATTGTCAGCTCACAGGTATTTATTAAATACCTCTGAGGTGTTTAGTCTTGTTCAGAATCTCAAACTCAGGGACGTTACAGTATAGATTTTAGCACAGAATAGACTGAGTAATAGTAAAGATAAAGGTGCTACTGCTTTTTATGCTCCTCCCTTTTGCCAAGGTAAGGAGAATTTTTTTTTTTTAGACTTTAAATTTTTATTGTTATGTTAGTCACCATACATTACATCATTAGTTTTTGATGTAGTGTTCCATGATTCATTATTTGTGCATAACATCCAGTGCTCCACGCAGAACGTGCCCTCCTCAATACCCATCACCAGGCTAACCCATCCCCCACCCCCTCCCCTCTAGAACCCTCAGTTTGTTTTTCAGAGTGGTAAGGAGAATTTTTATGTAATGTGTAATTAGTAAATTAGAAGATCAAAAAAGGTTTTGACAGCTTTATTTTTTATTCAAATTGAAGTAATCCTGGTATTTGATGAGGAACTTGAATGATAGGTGGTAACTGATAATAACAGGTCCTCTGCGTTTGGCCTTGGGCCACTTTTTGATGATCCTGCTAATTCACCCACTCAGATATATCTTAAAAACCTATTACACCAAGTAGCCAGTGTAACATACTAATTATGAAAAATCTGAACCCCCAAATCCTTTGATGAACACCATCAACTCCTTCTAACTATCAGGCAGTGTGTTTTTTCCTTATAAATCTTGTTGCCAAAATCTACTTTCAGCAAATACTAGATTCTAGGGCATGATTAACTATCTGAGTAAAAGTATTCTGAATCATTTGGACAGTAATACAAATTCAAGAAAGTAAACATTTTCAATGTCATTTTCAAGGTAGATAATGAACCCATGATTTGGGCCTTTAAATAAAGTTGGCAGCCTAAAAATTTCAAAAATTCTCAGTTCTAGTCCATCATGAAAAGTAGGAAAAGAGTTCAGTTACAGGTATTTTTCCTTTATTGTACCTGTTTAATCCTTAAGTAAAACACCAATATGCTTTAACTTAAAACTTAGTTTTTTTATATTTTTCTTTCTTTTTTTGTGGTGGGGGCAGGTTATTTGCTTGTTTTAATGTTAGTCTTTTCCCTATCAAATGCTTTTCTTGAACATTTCCAGTCAATGAAATAAGGCATAATGGCATATGTAGCCTGCCTATGTGATGGCGTTGTTGGATTTGCAATTGCCTCTCTACGCTTTCTTTCAAGTAGATTCCCTTTTTAAAACAAAAAAATGCTAATGAATATTATCAATAGGAATGCAAATATATTTGTTTGATAATCATTTTTAAAATGCATTGTGATGAAATGAAAAGCCTGTGAGTTAAGAGCAGAGGGTTCGATTCTGCACAAACCAGCTGTGTTACCCTGGAAAGTAACTGTAAAATGAAATAAATTGTTAGCCAATATATCAGATTTGTTTCTGCTATAATACTGTGTGATTTCAGTACAGAATACTGTACAATTTTGTAAGCTTATTTCTTACTTCCCTTCCCCTTTTCCCTGATTCAAAAATGAAGCAACCTGTTTATTTTTTTTTAGAGATTTTATTTATTTGAGAGAGTGCGCACGCGCAAGCGTTGGGGGAGGGGCACAGGGAAAGTGAGACAGACTCCCCACTGAGAAGGGAGCCTGAGATCCCAAGACCCTGGGATCATGACCTGAGCCTAAGGCAGCCTGTTAACCAACTGAGCCACCCAGGTGCTCCTGAAGCAGTCTGTTTAATCCTTTTTTGTACTGCAGTGTTGCTGGCTATGAACAATCCAGTTTTTGGTTTTTTACTTTTTTCCTTTTGCCTGTTAGAGTCTTTATTGTCAGGATCTTTTGGTAAGTACACTGTCTAGAATTATTCACATTGGCCCATAAATGTAAGTTATCTTTAATTTACTGTTTTATTTAATTTCAAGATAATAAGTATATAATTTTAAGTTAGTAAAGGGTTTTTTCCCCAAGGCTTAAAATGAAAAATAACTCTCCTTCCCTGTTCTTTTTATACCAGCTTTTGCTACTAAGAGATAACCACTTTCAAATCTTTTAGTGATTTTTCTATTTATCTCTGTATTTCTAAATAACATGATTATTATGCTCTTTCTTGATAGTTCAGTTTTAGGTTTTATTGATCTGTTTTGGAATACGAAGATGAAGATCTGTTCCTTCTACCTCTTCCCTAAACACATACCTTCCTCCTCCATCCTCTCAAAATGGTGCAGTTACATCACATTTTTGGATAACATTCAATATTAACACTATTTTGACTACGTAAATACTATTCACAACTGGATTGTGTGGTATCTGTAATTACATTTTCTTTTTGGATCCAGTTATAAGTTTTGGGGAAGTAATAATGTAATTACCTTATTATTTCATTAGCTCAGTGTTCTATGTAGCACACATTAACTTATAGCCTAACTGTCCTCCAGGATTAAAAATCTCTTCTCAGTAGGTTCAAATACATTATATAATATAACTTTTTTTTTTTTTTTCTCTAAAGACATTCCTCCTGAACTCTCTGTTCTATGATAATCTGGACTGGTTATTCTTCATCCCTTTCATGTTGGATATCCCAATTTCCTGAATCTTCTGTCTTCATCTTTTAGTTTATACCCTCATTTTGGTGGTGTACCTTTTTTTAGCAGCTTCCTGTGAAAGAATGCAGGAACAGTAAATTGTTTTGATTCATTGGTGTGACTCCGCATGGCTCGGTTCTATCTATATACTGCATTGAAAGATTATGTGAGTGTTGATGTCTAGGCTGAAATCATTGTCCCGAATTTTATAGGATTACTCTCATGCCTTCCAACTTCCACTGAAGCTATTGAGAAGTCATTTGTCATTTTGATTCTTGATACTTAAGTGTGTCTTCTGTTTGTTTCTCTTCAGAAGCTATTAGGATCTTTATTCCCAATATTCTGAAATTTCTTGATGATGTGTCAGAGAATGGATCTTTTTCATCCATTAAGTTAATCACCGGTGAACTTTTTTAATGGGAAAATTCAATGTCATTCAGGTCTGGGAAATTTTTAAATATTACTTTAGGTAAGTTCCTTCCCTCTTTTTTTTTTTTTTTCTAAAATCTATTTTTGGAGCTCCTTTTATTAAGATACCAGTACCTAGCCTGGTTATTACATTTTTTTATCTCGTATTTTCTGTTTTTTGTCTTTTTCTTCTACTTTCTTGTATATTTTCTCACTATTCTCTTCCAGTTCTTCCACTGATTTTTAAAATAATTATATTTTTGATATCTCAAAGATCTTTTTATTTTTTATTCTCTGAATATTCCCGTTTATTTTTTTATTTATTTTTTTTGAATATTCCCTCTTAAAAGTAGCATTATGCTCTTGTGTCTGTAGGGCAGTGGCTGGCTGCACCCTGGTGTCCAGGTGACCTTGCTCATATCCTGGTAGGCCATGCAGGCAGAGCTTGAACCTCTGGCCAGCCTACATCTTGGTGCAACAACCTGCAGTCCTCCTAGGAACATGGCCAGACAGGTAATCTTGTGAAGAGTCTCACAAGAACTTTAATTTACCTTTCTTTTTTGAGGGAGGTTCCCTGTTTTGGAGAAAGATGTCTTGAATCAGTTTTCCCATCTGCCACCCTGGTTTCTTTGAAACCATGTGGTCCCTTTTACTTTGGTGTCTCCCTGCACAAGGGCCATGAGGACTTGGTACCTTTGACTACTGTTTTCTCACTGTTTATGTAAGTAATAACCTGCCTGAATCTAAAAAGAGCTCATTGTTTTTTTTTTAACTGACTAAATTTGCCAACCCCTGGGTTGGCCTTTGGTGGATGTAACATTTTACCTCCCTGAAGATGTGAATTAATTTTAGTGGTTGTTTTCCAAGTTTTCTTCTGCTTTTTGTCTTCTGTTTTCTTCAAGTTAATGTTTTTCTTGTTTTGTTGTTTAATGTTTTCTCAGATTTCCTTAAATCTTTGGTAATATTTGGCTGCTTTCATGTGTAAGAGTAAGACACTAAAAAGCTGATTGGGAATTCTGTTTATGAATGAGGCGCTTTAATGGGTGCAGTTCACTTTTCTCTTGGGTTGGCTAAGGATATC